TTTATATCTTCTAATTCCCCTTTCCCACTAAGGCAGACCTATCAAATTACATATGATAAAAATATTTTTAAATTCTCTCTCTTTTTGTACCGGGGATCAAACTCAGGACCTTTTACTTGCAAGGCAGGCAGCAGAACCACTAAGCCAAATCCCCAGCCCCTTAGAGTTCTCTTTTTGCTTATATAACCAAACTGGCATTTGCAGAATCTTTACCCTCTTTACTTCCCAATTCTGAGCTAGTCTTGTACCTAAAGTCAGATGTTCATCTATTTTCCATCTAATACATTCATTTTTTAACAACCTAGACTGATTCAGTAACTTCAGTTCTTACTTATAACTTTCCAAACCTCTAACTTATTTCAACTATCCACTGAAATTGTGACATTCATTGACAGTTACCAACAGAGGAGGATATTTCATCCTATCCACCTTTAAACCAGTAAAGTCTCCTCACCAGTTTAGTTAACATGTTTCCCACTTACTCCCTAAACAAAAATGTTGAATTCTGCACCAAATTCTGTTCAATTTCTCGAACTGCCCCTCTATATTGCTTTATCACTAGGGCTGCCTTTCTTTAAGGCCTAGCCCACGGTTAAAATCAATTAAATAGCTTCTCAGTTAGTGACCTTAGACCCTTCCCGCACAACTTAGATACTGAAAGCAAGGAAAACCATATAAAACATGTAACTGATTCTGTGACTCATCTAATTCTGAATTATTCAGAACACACTATTGTATATGCAAAAAGTTCCTAAATTATTTAGAATGGCTTTCATGAACCTTTGATTTACTGCCAGTTAGGCTAAAAAAGGAAAACTTATTTCCACCTTATATTATTGATCCACTACTCACCCTCATTTCAGCTCAGGAAACACAAGCAGCCATTTATCAAGAAAGCCACTGTAGCTTACCAAGCAAACCCTACATCATTTCCAGGGTCTAGAATCCCTATTTCTCCCCTTCTGAAGAACTGCTACCAGTCCTTCAAAGTTGAGCTCATTATTGGCTTAATATATAAATTAACCTTAACTGCCCACTTCTAAATTGTAAGTTTCCTGATGGGTTTCATAATTTTCTTATAGCATTGCAGTTTTATTTTAATGATAACACAATTGAAGCATTTGCTTAAAGTAGTTCAATACTAAATATATGCTAAGAGCTCTTCCTAAAGAGCTATATACAGTATTTTATTAAATTTCATATAAATTATCCTTCTCCTACTACTCCCAGAAGTTAAATATTATACTAGGTTTACTAAATTAGCACATGCATAAGCTAGTATTTAATTCAAAAGTTTCCAGGGCTGGGGATTTAGCTCAGTGGTGCCACCACCTGCCTCACAAGCACAAAGACCTAAATTCAATCCCAGGTACCAAAGGGAGGGAAAAAAAAAAAAAATGAAAAGAAAAAAAATAAAGAAAAGAAAAAAAAGTTTCCAGACAAATCCTTTCACTTTTTTCGTTATTAAATGACACTTTTTTTTCCCAGTTGCTTGAATCAGACCAAAGTATAAGATTACTGATGCAAGGATGTTTTACAATCTTTCTCTTGAATCTGATTTTATTAACTGTTCAGATTCCTGAAATAACTAACATTTTGTAGGAGAGGAGGTGACACTTTTCATTCTGTATGTTTTTGCCTTGAAGTGTGTCCACGTATCTTGTGAAATAAATTGTACTGACCTACTTCTCTAATCCCTGGCGCTTATTTTCCCAAACCACCTTAAATGTTGCAGGTCACAAAACTGGTAATGACTGATGTGAAAAAGCTGGAACATATTCTACTTCATGATCTTTGCATGACATCTAGTGGTCAGAATTGGATAAACCTGTGGAAATTATGTTTAACAAGTGCCAAAGAGGAGCTAGATAAAGCTACACTCTTCTGGAATGCTTAGTTCTAACCCTGTGGAAAAAGTGACAGAGATCTTTCACTTCCCAAGGTGAGGAGTAATCTGGCCATTACTAATAAATACTACTTCCTTAATCATTTTTATTCCTCAGTCTGTGTGAGACAATAACAGTCTGCATCTGTGTTAAGTGTTCCGTACTCACTGGGTCTTGGCAAACCATATTTTCCTGTTCACAGTGCCTAGTTTTGATAGCTATCACATGGGTAATCATTATCAGATGCAAAAATGAATAAACCCTTCCAGCTTTCTTTCTCATACTTTGTGTAACAACAGAAACTCTACGTACACAAATACTTAAGGGAATGATATTAAAATCTATGGCTTTATTTTACAATTTTAAATTCTTTTGATTTTAGATCCTTCCAGTTTACTGGTGTAGATTCTTCTTTAAAAGTTACAAAACAAGCACCAGCTAAGCTCTGAGTCATAGGAGTGATTTGGTGTTATGTCCTTGATGATTCAAGCTTTGGGATCTGCCTTAGAGAAAGTATCATCCAACTCTGATGAGTGACAATGGAACCTGGTACTTGATCTGCATGTATCCACATAAGCCACACACACAGTGCCTTAGGATAAGGAGTTCCTGAGATCAGAGATGGGATCAGAGAGGAAATTGGAGTTGATTTCAGCTGTGGCTGAGCCCTAGCTGTTTTATAGCATGACTTTAGGCATAGCTACCTATCTGTTCTACACTTCATTTCTACTAAAGAAATGCACATAGTGTATATTTTGGATGGTGAAGATCAGTTAGTTCGGTACCAGTCACAGGACAAATTACCAGTCATTTCTGTTATACATTAATAAAGAAATATTTAGGTCAAATATTGTTCCCAAAACAAAGGTGGCAAGAGAAAAATAAGTAATAATAAATAATAAATATTATATTCCCGACCCCAATTTGAAACTTGATAAATATTTTGTGGCAATGTATTTGAAATACATGTCATGGTTTCTTACACTGTATTTTATGCAAATAGATAAGAAATCCTTGAAATCTGGGGATTACTAATAAATATTACTTTTTAATTTTCTATTACTACAGAGAAAACTTTTCTCTGCAACGTGGGCCAAAGTAAACTTTTTGTCTCCTGAATGTAGGTCTTTGTAAAAATCAACAGCTAGAATGTAACTTGAATCACAATAACTTTCAATATGTTTTAAGTGGGAGAAAGTCAGCCAATAAGGGTTTAGATTTGCAGATTCTATTGTTTAAGGTTATGGTATCAGCAAATCCCGGAATTATCCTCTGGGGTGAATAATAAGAAAGAACAATCACTCCACATAGGCTCAAAGGAGAGTTTTGTTGAAGAGGTGGGTTTCCCTGTGGTCTTTGATGTGAGTGTTTGCTAAATCCAGGGGCCTAGTGATGAGTGAACTACAGGAGAGATTGCTGACAGATTTGAAATCCCACAGTGACTGTTTTGTCCCTTGCCTGGAGAGGGTTGGTGATTATTAGACTCTTTCTCCAGTAGAGCCTTTGTTTCTAACACCAGCGTCCAATTTATAAAGCCAAGTAGTAGAGGCATTTCTTTTGCTCCTAATAAGACTGATTCTCTTTTATGTTGATGCTCATTTTCCTAAATCATATGTTTTGGTAGTTGCAATCGCTTCCTGAGAAATGACCTGGGGTGTATGTGTCTGTGTGTGCACACACGTGGAAGCCTGTAAACACTAGAGACAGAGAGATGAGGGAGGACAGGCAGAACAAGACAGAGGTGTGTGTGTGTGTGTGTGTGTGTGTGTGTGTGTGTGTGTGTGTTTATAGATGTGCTTCAAGAAGGCTCACTCCTTCACCTCCCCAGGATCATCTAGTTTGAAAATCTTGTATTTTCTTTCTCATTTATCAGCAGGAGATAGCTGACCCATTTAAGTGCTGAACTTTTGCAAGGTTGGCAACGCCATCCTTGATGATTAACAGACCTGAACTAAACAAAGCATATTCAGTTTGAGTCACTTTAAATATTTGGTCACTTTTTAACTCTATGTAAACTTTCTGGTTAAACCTTATTTCAGATAGTGAAAGAATTATAGCTTGAATACACTGGTTTATGACAGTACCTCAAGAAATATTTTTGATTGATATTCCTAAATTTTGGAATAAGTTTTTGGTCAGGAGATTAACGGATGTAAAAGCAGTATGGAGTATGATTTTACATGTAAACTCAATAATAATGCTAAGCTTGGGTTTATGTCTGTGCTGCTTGGCTTTTTAGTTGTCACTTCATTGTAATTTCTGTTGCTTTCATTTTTTTCTTCTGTTACACAATCAGGGCCATGCTTGTGAATATACAGTGATAGCTACCAGCTAAAAATGGCATCGAATTTTTGAGATTCCTAATTCTTGATAACAAGCTATAGCACACTGTTAATATGTCTGAGACATACTCAGCCCTTTGTTAAAATATTTTCATGTCTTGATACTGTGCAAAACACTCTCGTGTTACCATTTTACTTTTGTATCTGCTCCACCTTCTCTATTTTATTTAAAATGGTTTTAATTTAAAAATATATTATATAAAGAAAGCTTAAATAAAAGTTTGAGTAATGTCTGTTCTGAATATATCAAATGTAAGTTTCAAAGACAAAAAAATCCCTTATTTTATTAAAATATGCATCTCACAATCAATTCAAATCGTGGAATAGTTCAGTTAAAATAAACCTGGGCTGAGCTAACATTTATGTTTGACAGTTTTGACAAAGAATAATTGATTAAGGATGAATGGATATATCAATAATAATAATATATTGCTGCTCCTTTTTGTTTGTAAGTACCAAAGAAGATGTTTATTTTATACTGTGACAGGGGAATCCATAAGGGTTTTCCTGAACACTAAGATGTGAAGGCCTTCTTTCCATGACATAGTCTGTAACACAGATTCACTAATCCGGAGAAAAAAAAAATTTTACTCTATTTCTCTATCCCACAATAAAGTATCGAGCAGAACATAAGAGAAAAGGTTAGTGATTAATATTAAATGTTCCACTCTACCTAATAACTATAGTTGAATGCAATATAAAGAAATCAAATTGCAAACAGCTATTTATTTACTGTTTCTTGCTCACCTAACTTGAGCTTACTCATCCTTAGGAGCTTGTAACAGAAGAGGATTTTTTCTGTCTCTTTACCAAACTTCTGCTGCTTCGACTAACAGAAGACCAGGTGAGTGGATACTATTGAATGTAGCTTAGATGTGCAGTATAATTGCGAGATAGTAATGGGACTCTGGTCCGTGGTGACTGTTGAAAGTGGACTTGTCCCCCAGTGAGATATTACTGAAAGTTTCTCAAAGAAACTCTGGGGTGTTTCAGCCACTGTACTTTGAGGCCAATCATTAGATTTCAGGTCATCTTTCCCTTTCCGTGGAATAAATTTCCCTATCGATGATCCTCTTGCTAAATGTGCTTATAATAATAGCAAGCCTAGGATGTTCTTACAACTAGTTCTTGAGAAATCTGTCTTTTCTGCTACCATAAAAGTTCAGCTTATTTTATCTTTAATCTACAATACACTCAGATCCCCTGGAAATTGAGGGAAAAAAAATCAAAGTCCCAGAGACTTTATTTGGGTGTGTTGTGGTTTTGTGGCTATTATTTTTGTTTGTTTGTTTGGTCTTCCTCTTTTACTCTCTGCACTTAAACTAAAAGGGAAATGCCTTCCTTTCCTCCGTGTACGCTGATGGATGGATGAGTGTTAGGCACATTATTGCTTTAAAATTACCCCCTCCATTTTCTCCCATCCCCTTGGCTTATTTAATGGATACACAGAAATTCAGCAGGCCGCTCCTTGGCCAATCCGGGTGGATGGTCTAGCAGTGAATTTTAGAATGGTGTGAGTGAGGAAATATGAATTGGGGGGAAGTTTCGCCATTCTGTTTTTGTTCCTTAAGTGAGGACTGTGAATAGTATATAAAATAATGTGTCTGGAATCCATTTGAGAAGTGATAAAGTGATCTATATTCATTATTACCTACCTACAGACACGAAGTAATAAGAGTGTCAGACCGTACAAACTTCAGATGACCTACGTGGGCCTACGTGTTCTCACCTTCCTGGTTTCTGTGGACAATCATTCCTAACATAAAAAGGTCGAATTACCCATGATTTAAGATCCTTCAGACGTGATCCCTAATAATGACGTTTGCATTTGTTTAGCTTAGAAAGATCAAAGCAACAGGGATACAGACCCTGTGCAATTGGCTGCGTAGGTTGAAGGATAATATTCTACAGGCTAATAACACATCCATGAAGGCTGAATTATGGGGGAGAAAGGAATGAAACTGACTGTAAGGAGAATAATGGAAAAATGTAGTAAATTCCATAAAGCAGACAGTGTCTGGAGAGCCTGACTTTCTTATATCAAACAGTGCTGGAGCAACAAAAGAAGTGCATATATTCACCTTATATAGCTAAATGTCCTCCTACTGGGTTTGCGACTCTAATAAAATTTACATTTCAGATGTGAAATCCTATTTAATCTCAAACATTTTGGTTCATAATATTGACTCTTCTTAGATTTTTTAAAATAAAAGTGAATATAAGGAATTGAAATATAAACCTAATATTTTCATATTTGAAGAAATATGTATTTCTTCCATCTAAGACCTAGCTTTACAATGAATTCCTTTTTTCTTTTAAAACCTATCCAACATAACAACTGGCTATGTCTAATGCACTAAATACAATGAAAGGGAAAGAAGATCTTTTATATCCCCAATTTTCTTGGAAAGTTATGATGAATTTCAATAAAAGCTATTGTTAAACTGACCGATAGGTTTCAGAATGTTGAGGTATAAGCAATGCTTATGGAGCCTTTTGAGTTTTCACTCGTTGATAGTTATTCAAGCCTAACATTTTTTGTCTGTCATGTAATATTAATGCATAAAATCAGCATTACAGTTAATACATGATTTGAAAAAAGTTTATCAGTCTAAAGCCAATTATTGTATTTGCCTTACACATCCAACCAACTCCCAAAATGCAAATGTAGCATTGCTCATGATTTTAAAACACATTTTTGATTCCCAACTTACATTAACATAAGAAAATTTTTCAAAATAACAATTCCCAGTACCATATACAAATGTTACATTGCTAGTATTTCTTTCTGTTTTTTCCAGTACCAGGGATTGAACTCAGGACCTTGGTGCTTGTCAAGCAGGCCCTGGTGCCACTGAGCTACATCTTGGCAGGTGGGTAATATTTCTAACATTTCTCCCTCTCTCTCTCTTTCTCTCTCTCCCTCTCTCTTCCTTCCCTCCCTCCTCCCCACCCCCATGACTAGGAATGGAATTTAGACCCCCTGTACCTACTCAACAACTGGTTTACACCCTTAGCTTTTACATTAATATTTCCAAATCCTTGGAGCAAAAGACAAATTTCTAATAATTTAGGATGTAGCACCTCTGATATTTAAGTCTTTCTATACTTAGATTGGAAGTAATATAATATGAACAATTTTATCATTTTATACTATGGTCTAGATAATTACATGTTTTTAAGAACTAAAATATAGTTCAGTCAAGATTCTAATATAGAAAAATCATATAGGAGTTGGATTAGAAAAGGAAAGAAACCATTACTACTCATGAACCTAAGGCAACACAGAAATGAAGAAGTAGTAGCACCCATACAAAACAGCCATTGGTCAGAGCTACTTAACTGTGCCTTTCAGTGGCTAATACAGCCAGTATGCAGTGAGAAACTAAAGAATACGGGGAAAAAAATGTAAAAATCTCTCCAAGGGGAGAAATTTTTATATCAATCAAGATGATGAGAAAAAATTTGAGCAGCCAGGCAGTCATTTTCTATCATTTCAAGTGCCTGAAAGTTGTGCATAGTCTAAGTAGATTAAAAATAATAGTTGCAAAGAAAGAAAGAAAAAAATCATTTTTCTGTATATAAAATTATCATTTCATGATATAACTGACATTGTGAAATGAGAAGAAAAGGGCTAAAGGTGTAGGGAAAGTGGGAAGGGTAGGGGAAAGGTAATAAGGGAAAAGAAAAAAATTTAAGAAAATGAAAAGATGAAAATAAAGTGTTTGTAAATAGGGAGGAGAGGAGGGGGTGAAGGGAGGGCAGGGACAAGAGGAAAAAATGAGAACCAAGACCTGTCATGTAGAGGTACAAGATCCCAATGATTAATGTAACTGTACTGTATCCCTAAAGTGTACCACTAAACTCAACAAAAAGAAAAAATTATCATTTCCTTAAAACTTCCAATATCATTTTTTTCATTTTAGAATAATTGGATTCATAATGGTAAGGACATGTCCCTTTCCTTAGAGACTACGTGAAATGTATTTGAAAATAATATTTGTCATTCTATTATTAAGGCACTGTGCTAGCTCTATTAAATATATTTCTCTCTAAAAGAAAAAAAATGTTCAAACTCTGTCTACCATCCGAGTTACAAAGGAATGAGAACAACTAGCTGTTTGCATCAGACATGATCTTATATGCAATATAATACTAAAGAATCAATTTTAAAAGCTAGTAAAACTAAGACCTGAGCTTACTAAGATTGCAGAGCACAAGTCCAACATAGAAAAATCAAATTTAAAAAAGATCAGTCCAAAATATATGAAGACATTTCCACTAAAAATATCAAAAAGTAAAATACTTGTTAAATAAATTTAGCAAAACAGGTTGAAAAATTAGCCTCTGAAAACTGTTACATGTTGTTGAAGGAAACTAGAAAAGATTTAAATAACTTAAAAGGCAAGTTATGTCCATAAGGTAAGGTACTAGTATTATTAAAGATTCCACTGAATTCTAAATTTGATTACATACTCAAAGAAAACCTTAATGAAATCCCAGAGGAATTACTTGCAGAATTTGACAATATGACCCTTAAATTCATATGGAAATTCAAGGATCCAGAGCAGACAAAACGAACTAAAAAAAAAGAAGAGGAAATTGACTGAATTCTCACTTCCTGATTTTAAAACTTACTGCAAAACTACAGTAATCAGACAGTGTTGTACTTGTATAATGGTATCAATTGGTGAGCCCAGAAATAAAAGAACATAGTCAGTTGATTTCCATGAGAGGGCCAAAAAATTCAGCGGTGTCAAAGTTGTCTTTTCAGCAAATCGTGCTGAGACAACTGGAATCCACACAGAAAAGAATGGAGTGGAACCCTTACTTTATACCATATTTAACAAATCTAATCAATAGGAATCAAAGAGCTAAATGTAATAACTATTATTACAGAATCCTTAGACTACATAGGTACAATCTTCGTAATGAAAATTACACAATGTTTTCTTAAATATAACACCCAAAGCGTAAGAAAATAAAAGGGAAGTCTAGATAAATTGGACTTCCTCAAAATTAAATCTCTTTAAATGGCATTATAAAATAGTGAAAACATAACTCAAAGGATTGGAGAAAACATTTGAAAATAAAATATTTAATAAGGGACATGTGTCTCCAGCATATAATTATATATAAATATTGACTATAATGTAATAATAGAGACAAATAGTAAAATTAAAAATAGGAAAGAATTAGTATAGACATTTTTTTCAGAGCAAATAGTCACTAGGCAAACACTAAAAGATGCTAACATCAGTAGTCATCAGAAACTGAGATACCACTTCATGTGTGTTAGGAATCTGATAATAAAAAAGAAAAAGGATGCAAAGATATGGACACATTGGAGCTCCATATATCTGCAGTAGAAATTGAAATACTGCATGTAGCTACTTTATAAATTGAGTCACCATATTACCTGGAATTTTTGGCACATGCCTGAAAGAAATGAAAATAGGTGTTCCCCAAAATACTTGTACAAGAATATCCATAATAACTTTATTCATAACAAAGAAATGGAACCAACGCAACATTCTATCAGTTGAAGACAAATAAAATGTTGAATATCCCCACAATTAAATATTATTTGATATAAAAATGTCATGAAGTAGTGGACCTTAAAAATATGCTAATGAAGGCAGCCACTCAGAAAAGGCAGATATATAGATGCATGAAATGGATGTGTGGCTTCCCAAGGCTAGGAGACGTAGGAAATACGGGGGAAAGGATGCAATATTTCTTCAGGGCAATGGATATGTTCTAAAATTAATTGCAATGTTGATTTCACAGCTCTGTGAGTATCATAAAGATCCGTGATATGATTTATATAAATGCTGCAGTACAAAATTTATGCTAGTCACACTAAAAAGAAACACGTTTATATGCTAGATCTTTTCTTTATCAAATTGGTGATCTAGCTCCCAAGGTAAATCAGTTTCCCATCCAATCCCTATTCCCACCACTGGTCTAACCGGATTACGTCTCAATGAGTTCCCAAATTCATTGCTGTGGAAACTGAATGCAAGTAGGCAGAGGATGCTATGTGATGTCACTTTGATGCATGCACAGTAATCCTCCATGTGTGCTAAGACAGTGTCACTGAATCGTTAATTGCCTGGTACTATCGCTCGATTCATGAACTTATGTTTTGTCTTTCAGGACAGTATTTACCCAGTGAATGGTAAGAACTGTACTGCTCACCTAATGATGAACACGTTATGTGTTGCTTAGAATAATTGAGAGGTGGAGACTAAATAAACGAATGGAATCACAGCCACAAATAGTGGAAAATATGAACTGTCAGAGGACCCGAACTCACTGTGGATAGCATGGGGGCCTGTGAGCAATAATAAAGTCTTCCGGTTGTTCTCAGCACCAGTTTGGTAGCTCAGCAATGTTTATGAATCATAGACTGCCAAAGATAGTACTGACTTTTAAAGAAATACAAATAATCCTTTTCTGTTCTCACACTAGGATAAGTCAATATCTACAAATTATTGTAAAATCTGGATCTTCTTTAAAAAGGTTTTGCTTCATTTTTCTTTGTGCCTCCTATCTGAAATGTATGATATTTATTTATAAATTCAGTAGCTGTACATTTTGAACATGTGTAAAATTGAACCATTATTATTCAGTTGTAAAAACTGGATTATTTTAGGGTAAAATGAGGATTGGAAGTGATTGACTTTTGTCGGATTTTAGCAGTCCCATATGTAAAATCTTTAACGGATTAATGAGGCTGTGAACACTGTAATGAGTAGGAACAGCTGGAAATTTACCCATCAAATAGTTTTATTATGTACCTAAGTTGGAACATTTTTTCAGTCTCAAAGATATTTGCTGACTGATATCATTTGGAACCTATCCACTGTGATTCTTGTCACTTTGCCTTTTTTTTAATTTTTAAAATTAATTTAATTGGTACATTTTAGGCACACAATATAGTGATATCCATGACTGGGGATTTGCACCTTTACATAATCCATCTTGATTCTCATTTTCCCCATTCCTCTGCCCTCCCTTCAACCCCTCCACCTCTCTCTATCCACAAAGACTTTGTTTCAATGTTTCCATTTCCTCATGTTAATTCTATTCCCCTCTTTCCTTTCCCCTACCCCATCGACTTCCCCTGCCCCTTTGCACCTTTTCTTCCTATTTCACATTATCTGTTATACCTTTTAGTCTTTATTTACACTTTGACTTTCTCACACCAGAGAAACTGTTCAATATCTACACATGTCCTATTTATTTCACTTTAGAGTATTGCCTCAGTTTGAACTGACTCTCTACTTCGTCCCCATTTCCTGTTCACATATGCCGTGTCATGCTGTGACTGGTAACATCCACCTTTATTTGCCTGGGAACTGTGAGGTTCAATGGAAGAACTTTTTGTTTCTGTTACCACCAAACAAGCTGAATCCATGTTCATCAATCTCTGAGAAAGGCTCCCCTTCCCGAATCCAAAGCCCATGAGTCATGCCAGAGTCAAATTCAAGACCAGTTCAAGATGAAGGTCTTGGGGAGCAGAGATATAGTCTTTCTCAAATTGGTTATGCTATTTCTTCTCTTCCTTTCTACCGGGAAGCATTCTTTTTCAGAGGTCTTTCTTTCCAATACCTTTCTGTGTACATGTGCATATGCACATTTTCCCTAGGATTTCCTTTTCAAAGATCACTATTTTGCTATTGTTGAATAAGGCCCTGATAGTCATGCATGTAATGTAATCATTCTGTACATGTGTAAAGATTGTTATAGAACAGAATCCTAGAAGTACAAATTCTGGGCTAAAGAAAAACATAGTCCTTATTTTAATTAATATATATTGTGAAATCATCAC